ACTGACTCGTTAGTGGATGATCTGCTCCGCATTGCTAGATTGAATACCTGGCCCTTAAAGATTAAGTTAGTTTTAGGAAAATTCCATAGTTATGATGATTATGTGTTCTTAAAGTTTGCTTCTCTCTATCTAGAATTCATGAACCATGCACGATATACATACATTGGTGATGAACCTATCGTATCATCAGACACTGAATTTGTAATAAGGAAGCGAAACATTTTTGTTCTTGTAGTAGAGGTCTGTATGCTGTTAATCGTTTAAAAAGTTCTTATTTCATTGACTCAGCCATTTTTTTACAGGACAAGCATCTGAAAAATGTAGGATATGCCACTGATTTTGGTAATCACAGATTGCTGTAGAGATTTTTGCTTGCGGTAGTGAGAATATACGTCTTGGTGAAACACCAAAAGATCAAACATTATGGGCTATTCGAGTAATCTCTACATACGTTACTTTTTATAAAGCTATAATTCCTGCATCATATTGGATAGAGCTTGCAAACGGCCTACCAAAAAAAAACAAAAAATTGAGGTTAAAAGGTTGCCGATCGGTAATGACTTGAAGACTGGTTTTTGATCTTGCTGAACCAGCTGGAAGACGAACAGTATTAACAGCATTAACAAAAATTCGTGAATCACTTTTAAAAACAACCTCAAACCATTCGTAGTAAAATATATAGATCAATCCAAAGGAAATCAAATAATTTTTTCATTAGGTTATCTTGCATATCAATTCACATTTTTAGACAAAAAATTAAAAAAAAAATCCTATAAAAAAAAGCTAGTATTACGAAAATAAAAATTGCTGGAAAATATTAAGCTAAATGGATAACAAACGCATTATATTTTTATTGGGATTACAAAAATAATCAAGTTTATATTACTATAAATGATTTATTTTAATTTTTATACTTAGAAATTATTAAATAAAAAAAAATTCAAAAGTTAATACTATTATATAAAAATATTATTTGCTTAATAAATATTAAATATAAATTTAAATGTAAATAGTTTGAATTAAATAAATAGTTTTATTCAAAATATATAAAGAGATTTATTTTGGTTTATATATGTAATCTTCCCTGATTAATTTCATCTAAAATAGAAGAAATATGTCTTCTTATTTCATCATAACTTTTATTTTTAACAGTTATGTATATTATGCATTATGCTTTAAAAGATATATTAGAGATCAGCTTATTTAAAAAGAAATAGAATATTAGTTTTATAAATTATGTATTATAATTACATAATATAAATAATATGAAATAATTAGTTAAATTAAATTCCTTTTTTTTATAATTTCTTAAAATTTAATTAAATTATTAGTTATCAAATTATTTAATGATAAAGTAATTAAATATTTTACATATTATCTTTGAAATATTTGTATTTATAAAATTACATTGTTTCATATTTTAATTTTATTAAAATTTTATAATAGGTAATAAATATATTATTATTAAAAGATTTTTGTATTTTAATATATAATATTAAATATTAATTGATTTTTATATAATTGTTAATTAAATATTTTTTAAATGATTTTATTTTTAGGTTTATTTATTAATTAAAATAATTTTTAATTATTTTAAATTTTTAAAATAATTTATTAAAAAATTAATATCTTTTTTATTAAATTTTATGATGTATTCTAAGTAAATATTAAAAATAGGAAATAATAGGTTGGTATCAAATCTAATAAATTAAATTTTAATTTTTTGTAATTATTAGATAATAAAATTATTTTTAAAATTTAATAATTGAAAATTAATATATATTAATATTACTAATTTTAAAATTTTAAAATATTACTATTAGATGCATTTTAATATGATAAATCTAATAAATTTTATTTTATACTTTTATAATTACTAAATTTAAATATTATAATTTTTTCACAAAGTTTTATAACTAATTTTATACATATGATTTAAAAAATATAACTTAAAAAATATGATCATTTTTATTAAAAATTAGATGATTCTTTTTTAATAAAAAAAGATCATAAACTTTTACATTTTAATAAAGTTAAAATGTAAAATATTATCATTGGGCTTTTTGCAATAGAAAGAAAAAAAAATTTTTTTAAATTAATGTTAAATTTGAATTTATTTTACTAAAAAAATAAGATTTAGCTTATAAAGTAAAAAAGTTTTTTAGTAGTTTTCTTCTTTTCTATTGCAAAATACTTATTTAATTTTAATTTTTATAAGTATATATAATAATATCATTTTTATTACAATTATATATTAAAACTTTTAAAAATAAATTCATATAACATTTATAATTTTAGTGATGATTAGTAACAATCTAAATTAAGATGATATCAGCAGCTAAATATAAATCTCTTTTCTTTTATCATATTGTTTGCAAAAGATTTTTAATATATGTATATTTAGAAATATTCTGACCAAAATAATGTATAGTTAAGAAATCTTAAAATGATATATTACATGACCTTTTTAATAAAGAAAATAAAATTAATAATTATAATATCAAGAAATTAAGAAATAATTAATTAAATGAAAAGTTATAAAGAAAAATAATTAGCCAGAATAAGCAATTAAATAATGTAATAAAATACAAATTATCTGATATAACTATTTAGTAACACAATAATATAAATATAAT